CACAGAAGAAACCGGCGTAAAGTTACTTCATCTACTCTGTAACCAAATATGGCATTCCAAACAATGGCCTGAAGACTGGACATAATCTACAATAACGACAATACATAAAAAAGGCAGCTTCCATAAATGCGACAATTATAGAACTATCACTCTTATATCCCATGCCAGCAAGATAATGCTACATATAATCAATGAAAGACTGAAAACATTCCTCCAAAGAGTAATTCCACAAGAGCAAACTGGATTTACCAAAGGTAGAGGTACTCGAGACACCTGCTGAATATAAGACAGATAATCGAGAAATCTAGGGAATTCAACATCTCACTATACATCTGTTTTATAGATTACCGTAAAGCGATCGACAGGGTCAAGTGGAGACCCTTATGGCGAATACTAAAAGAAGTAGGCGTACCACAACATCTAATTACGCTTATAACTGAACTATATGAACATACTTCTGGATCAGTTAAAGTACTTGACACACTTTCGAACGAGTTTCATCCAGAACGGGGTGTCAGACAAGGATGTATACTATCTCCACAATTATTCATATTATCCATATATGGGGAATATATTATGCGATGTGCGCTTGAAGGATGGGAAAAGGGCATCTCAGTAAATGGTCATAAACTAAACAACCTACGTTTCGCAGATTACGCAGCCCTTCTTGCAAATAGTCAAGCAGAGCTGATGGAACTTATACGACTGATCGAAAAACGAAAGTCAAATATTTGGACTGCAATTAAACATATCAAAGACAAAGATCATGATAGTGGATAGACCACACAACAATCATCCACACATAACCACAATTGACCGGTTCGAGGTTGTGAGCTTATACTTATATCTGGGATCATTAATCACAAACACAAGGTCATTACAAGAAGAGATTAAACGTAGATGTGAAAGAACATTTGGTACCTGGAGTATGGAAAGCAGATAATATATGTGCGGGATGTTGGATTCTTTATTATTACATAATGAGATGTTAACTGATGTACGCGAGTGTGTATTTATTACAAAACGTGAACAGAATAATTGGTTTCTTTGAACAGAACAGATGATGGAACAGAACAGATGGAACAGAACATTTATTCTTTTAACTTCTAGGTTTTTAATAATGTATCATTTTACATCAAAAGATTTTACTCCATTGTAAATTTTTTTATATTATGGTATACAGCCAACTACTAAAATTGTTTTCCTTTTATTTTATTTTATTTCCTGTGTAATAAAAGATCCGCCTTTAAAATCGTATTTAATTGGAGTTACATCAAAACTGAAATACGAAAATACCGATCACTTTCAGTATTACGTAAAAGCTGAAAAGGACAACATAATATATTCTGCTTTCTAATTTTCTCGTTGCTGAAGCAAACAAATAAAACGTTTTATTGTTTCCTTTATGGTTTTATTTACCTACTGATCGCACCTGAAAAATTGTAATTGTAAATATTTTTCGGCAATAAAATCTGCTTATTTAGGATACTAACCCAATTTATTTGTTTGGTATTTTATTAGAATGCAAATAAAAATTAATTCGAGTTGAATAAAAGGCGACCTAAATATAGGTACATAGAGGGAGACTCGAAAATTAAAAATAAAAATTATTTAATTTGTCTTAAGAACAAATTGTTTACTATCGAAAATTTGTTTTTATTTATTTTTTATTTATACACATGCATTATCTGTTATGTTATGTTAGGTGTCCACAAGTACTAACCATAGACCTATAATACGTAGACTAAGTGCTGCAATATTGAACAGTTCTCCCTGTGCGACTAAAAAAAATGCACCAAAAGCAGTTCCTGCATCTCATTCTAATCGGCGTGGTTTACTGCCCCACATGTGACCTTCCCACTAAGAAACAAAAGTGAGCAACTTAAATATAACTTACATCTTAAATGAGACTACAAGTTTTTATGATCAAAATTACGTATTACAGTCAACAATATGGACTCAATATAAACGTTAAGAAGACAAGGCTTATGATAATGAGCAAGAAAAGGATAACAAAAGACTCTACCTCAACCAATCCCCTGTAGAAAGATTGACGCACTACAACTATCTCGGCACCATAATAAATGAAGAATAGACCAACAACTAGGAGATAAGAGCACTCCTCGGATAAGCTAGTTCCACCTTCAATCGGATGGGAGCCTTATTCAAGAGTCACAAATTTTTTCTTGATAAAAATGTAAGAATGCTGCGAGTCTACGTCTTCTCTTTCCTTTTATATGATGTTTAATAGTGGACCTTAAACGTGATGTGGCTATGTCGGAGAATACTTAAGATCCCGCGGACTGACCGAGTCACAAATAAGGAGGTCCTCAGAAGAATGAATAAGAACCGAGCAGTACTGACCATTATCAAATCTCGAAAGTTACAATTCTTCGGAGATATTATGCGAAATGAATCCAGATATGCTCTCCTTCAAGCCATCCTGCAAGGAAAAATATTTGGAAAACGAGGTCCAGGAAGAAGAAGAACATCTTGGTTAAAGAACCTCAGAATCTGGTTCAATACAACATATGTGCAGTTTTTCCGCGCTTCTGCAGATAAGATAAAGATTGCCATTGTTCAATCACAAATTAATTCCTTAATTTGTAATCTCACATTATTCTTCGACAAATCAGCAAACAAAAACAACAAGAAAAACCTCTAGCTATTTGAAATAAGGACGCCGCTTCGAAGAATCCTAGTCCTGCTTGATAAAGGAAAAAAGCTTCTTCTTTCCTACAATAATAAACACAAAAAGGGGTTGTAGGAGACTTTTCTAAAATAAATTAACAAAATGATAAGATAAATAAATTAAGCATTCATTGTTGTCTTAAATAAACAGTTACACATACAGATAATACAAAAATAATTACAATATATATATATATATATATATATATATATATATTATATATATATATATATATATATATGTTAGTTTGAAGTGTTTCACGGATGGAGTAATATGTTGAACAATTATTCCGGGAAAATATCCGTTGGTCATTTTTTAATTGCAGACGTTTCGCCAAGGTCTCACTTGGCATCTTCTGTGCGTTGTCTTCGGTCTCGTAGTCGGTAACTGAATTCAGTTACCGACTACGAGACCGAAGACAACGCACAGAAGATGCCAAGTGAGACCTTGGCGAAACGTCTGCAATTAAAAAATGACCAACGGATATTTTCCCGGAATAATTGTTCAACATATATATATATATATATATATATATATATATATATATATATATATATATATATATATATAATTACAAGGATTTACACCAAAATAATGTAAAAAAAAATTACATATGTCCTATCTGTTTTACAAGATTTGTTTACAATTGGAAGCTGTTACAAAACTTTCAAAAATTGTTGTTTAGGTTATCAGTTAAGTAAGCTATAAACTGTAGCAGAAATAAATATTTAAAATTAAGGAATTATCTTTTTAAATGAAAACATCATAAAGGTTAACCTTTTCTAAAAACAAATAAACAATGTCACAAAAATAATAAGGCTAGCTGTCATATATCAAAATCTTAATCTTACTCATAACTGAGAACAAATAAAATTGACAGCATAGCCACACCCTAATACTTACAATTCATTAATTATTACAATTCCTTTTTTTATTATGAAATTATGAAAGCAATTATTATTTTAATCTTTATTTTTTATTCAATAGTTTAAAACAAAAAAGTTACCTTGATTTCACAAAAAATATGCACTAAACTTCTGGGATTAGAACTGGGGTTATACTGGAATTTCTGCTAAGCACAAACAAAACGGACTACATCTATGGTCTGGAACGTTGATGAGCCGGGGACAAACATAGGCGAAGTAGAAACAAATCAGCGGCACATTTTTACAAAACTGGAACAATTTTCAGAACTCTGGTACACGACACAAATTTCATAGATACTTAACAAAATATGTAGTGATTACTCTTCCAAATTTGACATATTAACACAGAGTAAAATTTCATTACTTTTAACAAATTCGCCGTTTTCTACCGGCTTAACTAAAAAACATCCGCCCACCACCGCCTTCGTTTTACACCACCAACTTTACCTTCCACTGATTTGTATCGCACACGCATTTCCCCTTCGCGTCCCATTACATACCTGTCCATACCAAGGAACAAGCTAAAATTCGTTAGACCTACAAATCGTGAAATAACCTTGAATTTAATTTCCGCTTGATTTTAGAATTGTAGAACTAATAGTGGCTTCTCACGATCGGCAATTCTACAGATCATCGCAGACAGAGCTCTTCCTACGGTCCGTGACAGTCTGTGTAGGTCCGTGACAGTAGTGTTTGATTATATCATAAAAAGGCCACTCAGGCTTGTAAACATCATCAGCCCCACTACCAGTTCCCATCGATTCTCTAACTTTTATTTTTTGCCTTCTGTATGTCGACATTAAATTATTTCTCTTCTTTTTTAATTCTTTAATCGAAATAGTAATATTCTTCAATTGATTTTTTATTCGGTTCCATGCATCGTATGCATCGTTCCGGTTCTTATGCTCTGGCGCCGTGGAACTCCATAAACTTCGTTCTTCTTGATACAAATTTAAAAAATCAAAAACAACTTCGTTTGTCCATTCCATTTTCAGCAAAAAACTGTAAAACAACTTTGACAACACTACAGACAACTACTCGTGTCAGCGAATGAAAAACTTCTGACTTGCACTTGTCGTCTGTTAAAACACAGACGCGCTAGGATAGCGTCGATAGGTTAAGTCCGCAATATCGCCGACCGTGGGAAGCCGCTATAAGACGTAATATATCAAGGATTTTAACTGCACGATGCAAACAGAGAAACGGAAATACATATCTCGGACCAGGGGCCTATTTAGAAAATTTTATACATAAATATTACATAGCTAAAAAAATTTTCAACATGCTACAACTTTTAAAAATGTTCTTTCAATTTTTTTTATATCATAATAGTACGAAATGTAGTAAACATATTTCCTATACATATTTCTCTTTTGTTTCAGGCTGCCTACGTAAGAATTTCTTATAAGCTAAGAAATCGATTCGCTAGCGGTTTTACTAGTGATGAAGGACATGGCAATCGACGGGAACTTCGTGGACGCCGTCTTCATAGAACTAATTTGCTACTAGGGTCAATTGCCGTCATATTTTGTATAAGCTGGTTGCCACTTAACGTATTCAATTTGGTAGCGGATCTTTCGGCAAATGACTCTTTTACTTCGCAGCCAATGATGGTAAGTAAAATAACGAAATAATACAGTTATAAAAAATTATTTCATAATTTAATAACTAGTATGTATATATCTAGTGAATATACAAAGTAAACGAAAAATATTCAAATTGGCAACGGCATAATAAAGCACAAATTAGTAAATCTTTTCACGTTTGAATCGAAATCAATAGAACGGATGATAGATATTTCAGTTTAGTATCTCTACTTCGTCAGCCATTATTTATTTATTTATCGTATGGCAATTACAACACATTTAGAACAAAATTACAAACACTACTAATATAGGTATATGACAAACTTTAAATAATTACAAACAAACATCAAGTGTATTAACATAATCAATTGACTCTGAAGTTGCAAACAGGAAGTCTTCAGGGCTACCGTTATATGATCTTGAGGGACACTCTTCAATAATGTGGTCGATCGTTTGGTCCTTCCCACAGTCACATTGAGGAGACGGATTCTTTCCCCATTTATGTAGCATGTATGCACATCTGCCATGTCTGGTTCGGATCCTGTTTAGAGTGGACCATGTTTTACGTGGAACATTAAAACCTAGTGGCTTGTGTAGAGGGCATGTTATTTTGCCATGCATTCCATTCTTGGGACCATGCATTCGTGATGTTGAACTCCTCATGTATCATTCTTGCCGTTTTCATTGGTGGTTTTCTAGAACGTAGACGGGTATTTCGTGCATCTTCGGTATCTTGGTGGATCGGCAGGTTTATATTGTTCATGATCTTTTTGTATTCACGTGTAAGTGCGTCAACTCGTCGTAAATGTGGAGGTGGAATGTGACTTAATACTGGAAGCCATTGGGTGGGAGTTGATTTAATTGTACCAGCTATCATCCTCATAGTGCTGTGCAGCTGAGTGTCGACCTTTTTTACGTGTGGACTGTGTAGCCAAACTGGGGCACAATATTCAGCGGTCGAGAAAACAAGGGCTAAAGCAGTAGAGCGGAGAGTGGAAGCCGATGCTCCCAGTTGGTACCGCAGAGCTTCTGTATAATGTTATTTCTTGTACTCAACTTTTGGGCAGTTTTTGTTAAATGCTCTTTAAATGATAGCGTTCTGTCTAGTGTTACGCCCAGGTACTTCGGTCTTTTTTTTTGTAGGAAAGTGTGGTATTTTCAAACCGTATGTTGAGTTCCTTTCCAGCAAGTTTATTGTTCAGGTGAAAGCAACTTACTTCTGTTTTGGATGCATTTGGTTGAAACCGCCACTTGCGAAAATATTTGCTCAATATATATATATATATATATATTATATATATATATATATATATATATATATATATATATATAAGTCTGCCGTCAGAACTTCTTCAGATGTTTCTAGTGTTCTGCATCGTGTAGTAAGAGCCCAGTCATCGGCGTATCCGAACTTTCTTGATTGTGCTTCTGGCATATCTGCTAAATATAAGCTAAATAGTAATGGAGAGAGCACTGACCCCTGTGGTAGGCCATTCTTAAGTTTCTTTGGTGGGCTGATATCTGTGCCCATCACTACTTAAAACATTCGGTCGTTGAGCATGCTATCTATTAAACGTGCTATTTGTTTACAGGGAATTGCACGGAGAATTTTGTATATAAGGCCCTCTCTCCATACTGTATCGTAAGCTGCCGAGAGATCAATAAATGCCGCTGAAGTTTTAAGTCTTTTTTGGAAACCCCCTTCGATGTAGGTGGTGAGTGACATGACCTGGTCCGCGCAGCTTCGTTCTGGTCGAAAACCCGCTTGTTCGACTGGGATCAGCCATTCGTCAGCCATTAGAATGCTCAATAGCTTATAGCTTATAGCTAAGATATTAAGCTTACTTTTGGCCCAGCTTTCTTCGGCTTTCTCACTTTTTATGATATGGATGTTTATGGGCTTCACCTTGTGAACTGTGACTTTTATCTTTGTAATGTACATATTTGAGATTTTGTTATTATATGTTTTTACATTCAGATTTTGCACAATAATAATTTATCATCACTTTCTATTTTTACTGATGTATATCTGCCTGCTGATATAAACTACGTAATTTATACAAGTGTTTGAATGTATTCTAATATATGCAGCCTATGTGTAAAGTACTGACAAGACTTAGATAAGCAAGTTTTATGTTTATGATGACTAACGCTAAGCAAATACTTGAAACTATTCATGCTTGTACTATTCAACAATCAATTATTTGTAACAGCGCTGTTTCGTATCCGGATTGGTTGCTTATCCCTCGACTATAACAGTGACGTCACAGAAAGTTAAATGGTAGAAATTCAAATACGTGATTATATGAGACTATATATATTTTCAAAGAAATGTCAGTGACAACATGGATAAGGTCATACATTTTATGCAATGATTACTTAGCAGGAAATTGCTACTGATATAGATCTAATTTATTAAATTAAATAATTGATGGATTCGACCGTTACTTGATGGAAATTCATTTTATGTAACAATAAAACACTGAAAACTTTGTTTTCAAACTTCCACAAAATTTATTTTAAAAATATTATCACTACAGCTGTTTCGGCTGATTGCCTTTCTCAAGTGATCTATTTTTTCTTGGGTTTAAAAATTTATAGTCTCTAATGAAATAGGTTGAGGAGGGGAGAACTGTTTGTCTCAAGTTGGTCATTCAGAATTATATCTGTGTTTTTTAATTTGTTGATTTCCATAGATTCTAACAAAGATAGCTTACGGCCTTTATTTTGAATGTGAAGAATTTTAAATTTGTCATTAAAAGAATGATTATGATCTAGAAGGTGAAGTGCGTATGTCGAATCTGTTTTTCTATTCTTGAAAGCCCTTTTATGTTCTGCTATTCGTTTATTAAAGTTTCTACCAGTTTGACCGATGTAAGTTTTTGGGCAGTCGCCACATTGAAGTTTGTACACACCACTATTTAAGTGTTTTTTATTTTGGCTTTTGTTATTTTTAATATATTTGCCTAGGTTGTTATTTGTTCGGAAAGCTGGTGTTATTCCTTTCTTTTTTATGTGTTTGGCAATTTTTGTTGTTATTTTGCCTGTATATGTAATCGAGCAGAAGGTACTGGGTTTTTTCTCTGGTGGTGGAAATACAACTTTGAGACAGAATTAAATATAATTAAGCAGATAGCAGTAAACAACGGATACAACGAACAAACAATTAATAAAATGTTAAATCAAAAACTATACAAGAAAGCCCTGAAATTAGTATTTCCGCCACCAGAGAAAAAACCCAGTACCTTCTGCTCGATTACATATACAGGCAAAATAACAACAAAAATTGCCAAACACACAAAAAAGAAAGGAATAACACCAGCTTTCCGAACAAATAACAACCTTTGCAAATATATTAAAAATAACAAAAGCCAAAATAAAAAACACTTAAATGGTGGTGTGTACAAACTTCAATGTGGCGACTGCCCAAAAACTTACATCGGTCAAACTGGTAGAAACTTTGATAAACGAATAGCAGAACATAAAAGGGCTTTCAAGAATAGAAAAACAGATTCGACATACGCACTTCACCTTCTAGATCATAATCATTCTTTTAATGACAAATGTAAAATTCTTCACATTCAAAATAAAGGCCTTAAGCTATCTTTGTTAGAATCTATGGAAATCAACAAATTAAAAAAACACAGATATAATTCTGAATGACCAACTTGAGACAAACAGTTCTCCCCTCCTCAACCTATTTCATTAGAGACTATAAATTTTTAAATTCAAGCCAAAATAGATCACTTGAGAAAGGCAATCAGCCGAAACAGCTGTAGTGATAATATTTTTAAAATAAATTTTGTGGAAGTTTGAAAACAAAGTTTTCAGTGTTTTATTGTTATATTAAATTAAAACTAGGAACGTATACATTTTTACGTATTTTGTCTGAAATACGGAAACATCATCTTGGACAAACAGAATAAAATAAGAACGTGGAAAGAATATCTAGAAAAACTATTTAAAGACCAAAGAGCTAACAGCTTTGAGCTAGAAGAAGAGGTAAATGATAGATTAAGAATATTACAACATGAAGTTTATTCCGCACTAACACAGTTAAAGGATGGCAAAGCGGCAGGTTCTGATAATATACAAGCAGTACTACTTAAACTAATGGACAACGAATCAATAGCAATAACCGCAAATATATTCAACAACATATACAACTCTGGAGAAATACCAACAAAATGGCTGAAATCTGAGTATATATAACAAGCGAGTCTTCTACAGCTGGCGCCGCTTCTCGCATGCTAATTTCCAGCGTTTTCTGTCGAAGCAATCTTCAGTTGTTAGATCTCTGGCGGTCATTGCATTGTCGATATCGTCTCTCCAGGATCGTCTTGGTCTACCTCGTTTTCTTCTAGTTGGCGGAGTCCATTCTTCTATTTTTTTTTTGGCCATCTATTGTCCGGCATTCTCTGAAGGTGTCCATACCAGTTAAGTCGTTTGGCTTCGATTGTGTCTATTATGTCTAGATCGATTTCCATTTCTCTCCGAATATCTTCGTTTCTTACCCTATCAAGTCTAGGGAGCTGACAACATCATCTCCAGTAGTTCACATCGTCACATGGCCTTAATTTTTGATTTGTTTCTTTCGTTTATTTCCCAGAGTTCGGCGCCGTACAGTTCAATACTTTCTATTATTGTTTTATAAATTCTTCTTTTATTCTCTTTTGTAACTTTTTTATTCCATAATAGTCCGTATAGCTGTCTGGTGGCTGATCTTGCTTGACCAATCTTGGAATGTATTTCTTCGCAACTTCCTGCTTTTGATGTTATTTGGACTCCCAAGTACTTAAAATTGTTTGATGTTTAAGTTCCCATTTCGATTTGTACGCTTTCTGGTTTTTCTCCTACAAATAAGTACTCAGTTTTTTGTATATTAATTGTGAGGCCCCATTTGTTGTACTTATCTTCCAGTTTTCTAAGCATGTAGCTTATATCACTCTCGTCTTCAGCTAGAATGGCTTGGTCGTCAGCGAAGTGTATCGTGTACAATCTATCATCTCCGATTGGGATGCCCATAT